ACATCAGGCTCCCAGTCCTTCATTGCCTCAGAGTTTCCCCAAATTCATGTTCATTCTGTTGATGATGCTATTTAACCATCTCCTCCTCTGCTGTCCTCTTCTTTTGCCTCCCATTTTTCCCAACATTGGGGTCTTTTTCAGTGAGTCTTTTCTTCTCATTTGGTGACCCAAATATTGGAGCTTCAGCTTCAGCATCTATCCTTCCAAAGGACTGTCAGGGTTGATTAGCATGTTTAATTTTGCCTGGGAAGATCTGGTTAATATAGATAAAGATCTATACTAAGATAAAGATATATACCAAGATGATGAGGGGACTGGAGACTAAAACGTATGAAGAACAGTTGCAGGAACTGGGCCTGGCTAGTCTAGTGAAGGGAAGGACCAGAGGAGACACGATAGCAGTGCTCCAATATTTGAGGGGCTGCCACAGAGAGGAAGGGGAGTCAAGCTATTTTCCAAGGCACCCGAAGACCAGACAAGAAATAATGGATGGAAACTGAACAAGGAGAGATTCAACCTGGAAATAAGGAGAAACTTTCTGATAGTGAGAACAATCAACCAAGAGCAATCCAAAAAAGATGGAAGACAAAAGAACAGGACAGCAGAGGAGGAGAACAGAAGTTGCCCTCGGAAGTTGTGGGAGCGTCATCACTTCAGACTTTCAAGAAGAGGTTGGACTCCCATCTGTAGAAATGGTGTGGGGTCTCCTGCTTGGGTGGGGGTTTGGGCTAGATGACCTACAAGGTCCCTTCTAACTCTGATTATCTCTGTTGGATTTATTAGTGAGTTTAAGCCATCAAATCAAAACCGAGTCTTCTCAAGGTTACTGTGAAGATAAACTGGAGCTGCCCCAGGATGATCCCTCACTTGTGGAGTCTCAAATGCAAGCAACTTCAAAACTGGTTCCATCGCACGTGTTGGACATATTGCTGGACATGTTGGATGTTATGACATCCCTTTCGTGCAAAGAGTATGATGATAAGAAAAACCCATCTTCATGGCTTTCAACAGTGCAGGAAATGCTCCGGAAAATAAAGTGAAGATAGCGGTTGATCTTCTCAACGGGCTGCACTCCAGATGTCTCGATCTCCAGGCAGGAGATATTTCCTCAAGCTACAGCAGAATGAGGAAGAGATTGAACCATGAGATAGGAAAGTAGACCTATAGTGCATTAGTCTCATCTATTTTCAGAGATGGTCCTTATAGAAACCCCCAGGTCTCCAGTTTCAAGAGCTGGTTTATATCTTTCTTTTTTAGTTCACTCTGCCAGGTTTTTTCCTTGTTGGGGGGCTGGGTGTCTTTGAGCTTTTGAAAGCTGAGATGTACGTGGCTGGGGGACCCAAAGGGTGCATTAAAATAAGTTCAGGCTTCGGCGTACTGAAATTTAATGTCACTTCCACTCCTCTTTTCTCAGGCCAAAGAGGAGGCTAGAAGGTGTATCAGGATGTGTGTGTGTGTGTGTGTGCGAGAGAGAGAGAGAGAGAGAGAGAGAGAGAGAGAGAGAGAGAGAGAGAGAGAGAGAGAGAATGAGAATAAGACCGGGTCTTATTTTTGCTCCAAAAGATGCATTAGGGCTTATTTTACGGTTAGGTCATACGGTACTAAATGCGTCCATCTGGCTGATGATCTTAACTGGGGCTTATTTTGGGTGGGGGGGTAAGGCTTATATTACAAGCATCCAGAAAAATCATGCTAGGGCTATGTGTGTGTGTGTGTGTATGTGTATAAATTTATGTGTATATGTGTGTGTATAAATGTGTGTGTGTGTATTGAGGAAAACAATAAACACAAATTAATATAAAGGGGGGGGAAGGGATAAAAGGGAAAAGTTTTAAAAAACTGACCCCCAAAAATACATAACCCATATATATATATTTACAAAAAGTGACTTTTGGTATTTTTCAACCCAGAGACAATTATGAATTACAACAATACCACTAAATTTTGATCACGTGACCATGGTGATGCTGCAAGGATCACAAGCGTGAAAAACAGTCCTAAGTCACTTTTTCAGTACCATTGTAACTTTGAACGGTCGCTAAACAAACGATTGTATATCGAGGACTGTCCTTTCAGCCAATGTTTCCTTTCATCAACTCACCCCACTACAGGAAAGGTTCTAAAACCCTGACTGGAGCCACCACAGTGTGATCAAAGCTCCAAATGAAATACCATGGTGCCAACCATCTTGGATCATGTTTGATTCTTGATGGGGGTCTGCTGCTCCTCCCCCCAAGAAAGTGAAGAGGGAAAGTCTGTAGAGATTCTCAGTCATCCAGGTCATCCAGGTTGTCCCAAAGGTGCTTTGTCAGGAGGCGACTGGACTTTCTTGTTTTTTCTTTTGAAGACGTTTCCCTTCTCCTCCAAGAAGCTTCTTCAGCTCTGACAGGATAGTGAGGAATGGAAGGATTTATATTCCTTGCAGGCAGCTGGTCATTTGCATCCTTTTAGAGGGTCGTTGAAGCACTTGGAGGTTTGTCTGGATCCTCAGGGTCACCTCCTGAAAAAAGCACCTTGGGGACAACCATCCTCTGGAGGACTGAAAATCCCTACAGATCTTTAGCTATACAATTTGGGCTGAACACCCTTTGAATGGTGTGGGAGTAGGAATGAATTTCCAGAGGAAAAATTGCAGACTACAGGAACCAGGAGCACCACTCAGGTCACCCTCAGATGAACCTCCAAGTGGCCTCAACAACTCTCTAGAACAGGGGTGTCCAACCTTGGCAACTTTAAGACTTGTGGACTTCAACTCCCAGAATTCCTCAGCCAGCTGGCTGAGGAATTCTGGGAGTTGAAGTCAACAAGTCTTAAAGTTGCCAAGGTTGGACACTCCTGCTCTAGAAGGATGCAAATGACCAGCTGTCTGCAAGGAATATAAACCCTTCCGTTTCATCATCATCCAGTCAGAGCCAAAGAAGCTTCTTGGATGAAAAGCGAAACATCTTCAAAAGAAAAAACAAGAAAATCCAGTTGCCTCCTGAAAAAGCACCTTTGGGGGAAAAAACGGGTTTACTCTTCCTGGACTCTCAGCTCCTATTTAAGCAGTAAATGGAAATCATGGCAGTTTTACTTGGAACAGGTCGCTCACTTAGTGCCCTTTTCATCTAAAGTTATGAGATATCTCAACTGGTAAAGGAGAACGTGGACAACTGGAAAGGAGAACATATGGGGGAAAGGAAAACACCCCCACTGTTTAAATTTCCTGACATCGTCAACAAATACTACAGTGGAAAAACTGTGCACACACAAAAAGTGTGCTTGGGCCGACCTGCACTTGGGTAGTCCTCAATTTATGACCATAACAAAGCCTGCCAATTAGGGTCATAAGTCATGACAGTCATAAATCAGATCATCACGAGGCAGCAAGATGCTGGCATCAGACAACGGGGCTTGAGATGAATCTAATGTTGGAAAGCACCATGAAATTCTGAAGAGAAAATGCAACAGCAGAGTAAGCAGAGTAAGCAATATGCTTTGTTGAAAGAAAATCTAGTTGCATATTTACGTTTCATGTTATCCTTCAGATGTTCAAATTTAGTATAAGTTTTTTAGTCTGTATTTAATGCTGGTTTTCTTGATGTACAGTACAGAAACAGTCTTGTTTTCTTGTAATTATTGTATAAATGCTTTTAATATAGAGCTTTTATTTTAACAAATGAGCAGAAATTGCCTTTTGTGTATTTGCTGCACCTTTTAAAGACTGTTAATATTAAAATATTGTACATACAAAAGTATTATATACCTCTTATGTATAAATGTGATAGATCAGACAATTTATTTTTGTGTTTTTTTACAAACTATTAATACACTAAAAGTCTTGCTGATGTGATTTAATGTACTTGTAACTTATTTACTTCTGGAGGTTCCATTATATCTTTTTAAACCTCTTTTTAATTAAAGAAAAAGAGAAAATGCAACAGCAGAGTTAGAAGGGACCTTGAAGATTGTCTAGTCCAACCTCCTGTTCAGTCAGGAAACTCTATATCATTTCAAATAAATAGTTGTCCAATCTTTTCTTAAAATCCTTCCAGTGTTGGAACATTTACAATTTCTGGAGGCAAGTCGTTCCACTAATTGTTCTCACTGTGTGGAAATTTCTCCTTAGTTCTAGGTTGCTTCTCTCTTTGATTCGTTTTCATTCGTTCTTTCTTGTCCTGCCTTCAGGTGCTTTGGAGAATAGGTTGATGTTACCCCTCTTTCTTTGTGACAGAACCTCAAATATTGGAAGACTGCTATCATGTCACCCCCTACTCTTTCTTTTCATTAAATGAGACATATCCAATTCCTGCAACTATTCCTCATATGTTTTAGCCTCCAGTCTTGTAATGGCACCTTTATTGTTCTTCTCTGCACTCTTTCCAGGGTCTCTGGACCTTTTTTTATATCGTGGCAACCAAAACTGGACGCAATATTCATTCAATACCAAGACAACTAGACCCACCTTGGTTTCTCATGTGGCAAATCTTGGTCGCTTGGATGCTTGGGCCAAGTTGGACAGCATCTCAGATGTCCTTCCAATGCAGCCACGATGACTCATCCAATTTTGAAGAAGTCTAAGAGACCGGTGAGTCTTTCTGATATTGTAAGACCAGTTGGCCAAATTCCTACGTGCCACGGGCCGTCCAGATCAAAGTTCTTGCATCACGGATGCAGAAGTAAAAGTGGCTTATCTACCCCGATCCTTCCTTGATTGAAATTGTAAATCCAGCATATGGTAGTTGCTTCTTCCTCTTTACTACAAGCCTTTTAGGGAAGGGGTTACCCAAAGAAACCACACCAGCTAACTGCTTGAGTAACTCCCGAGCAGTTGTAGCAGACCCAGGTAGGTTACCAACCACCCATTGCATGACACACTCAAGCCCCACTCAAAGGATTTGCTGCTATAAGCGTGTTCCAAAAATTGAAGGAGGCTTCCTTTATTTCACTTTTTCATTGGGCAACACGCCACATCTTTAAGGCTGAAGAGGCTGGCAGATTGTTCTCTGGATCTCAAAAAGATGGGGAGAGCAGACTTACGGCTCCTGAAGACCAGGCTGGTACTTTGGGTCCTGTTCCAGGCAGGTAAAACTAACATTTCTGTTCGTTAGATTCAGAATATCGTTTATTTTATTTTATTTTATTTGTATCCTGCCTTTATTTTTATAACAAATGTCTCCAGGCATTGGACATATCCGATATACCTTCCCCCTCTTATTTTCCTCATCACAACAACAACCCTGTGAGTGGCGGGTGGGTGGATAGGTTGGGCTCAGAGAGAAGGACAAAGTCACCTAGCTGGCTTTCATGCCTAAGGCAGGACTTGAACTCAAGGTCTCCCTCTTTCTGGTCTGGGTCCTTAACCAAACTGTTTTATGTTATCTGAGTATTATTGCTAACATTTCATTTTAAAAAACGGATGGTCCTTTAGTAGGGCTGGCTGGGAAATTTTATACATTGAAGTCCACATATCTGAAACTGCTCTAGTTGAGAAACACTGATGTAGGAGATTCAGCTTTAGTAATACATTAAAAAAAACAATTTAGGTTTCACCACAAATCACAAATTTGACCATGAGGAAGCAACCTGATGTAATTGCTTAAAAACCTAATCTTAGATTGCCCAAATAGATGGGTTGTAAACATTTTGATTGTGAGGAGAGATCCATTCTGTTCTATGCCAAGATATTGAGGGTTTATCTGGAGCATTTTGTATAGGTAGTCCTCAACTTACAACAAAAGCAATAGCACTTAGACTTATATACTGCTTTACAGTGCTTTACAGCTCTCTCTAAGTGGTTTAGAGTCAACCTCTTGCCCCCAACAACCTGGCTCCTTATTTTACCCACCTCGGAAGGAAGGAAGGCTGAGTCAACCTTGAGCCTGGTGAGATTTGAACTGCCAAATTGCAGTCAGCCAGCAGTCAGCAGAAGTAGCCTGCAGTACTGCACTCTAACCACTGCAGCACCACGGCTCACAACAATTCATTTAATGACTGTTTAAAATTTCGATGGCATTGAAAAAAGTGACTTATCACCAGTTTGAACTCCGTGCCACTCAGACAGGACACAGAAATAATCTTTGCATAAAGAAGCAGTGTTTCTAATCTTGGTACATTCAGGTCATAGCAACATGGACTACATATACTGTATGTCAGGGCTCCAACAATCCACCCCCATTCAAATCATGAGTCTTGAGCGGCATCTCTCAGAGTTAAAAGAAAATCATTTATTAGGAGTGAACAAGTCGGCATTACCTGGGTGCAGCTGACTCTGAGACACATCATTCATTTCTCCCTTGACCTCGGTCTTCCCCCACCCCCTGGATGTATATTCTCCAATGGGACACATCCATAGCCAAGAGTCATCCATCATGCACTCCAGTAATAATCTTATGTGCCAAAAGCTTTGGCCGCCTAGCAATTATCTATGGAAATATTTCAGGTATGCATTGCTTACCCCACTCCCTTTCTGCTGACAACTCTAAAAGACCAGAGAAATATTTTTGAGTTGACATTGTACGGCAATAGCAATAGCAGTTAGACTTACATACCGCTTCACAGTGCTTTACAGCCCTCACTAAGTGATTTACAGGGTCAGCCTCTTGCCCCCAACAATCTGGGTCCTCATTTGACCCACCTCGGAAGGATGGAAAGCTGAGTCAACCTTGAGCTAATGAGACACAAACTGCCAGCAGTCGGCAGTCAGCAGAAATAGCCTACAATACTGCATTCTAACCACTGCGCCACCACGGTTCTAGACAGGAATGACTCTTTATTCCCTTTATTTGGGGACTAGGTAGCTTAGTCCTTAGTCAATCACTTCCTCCCATTGTGCTTCTTTGTGTAGGTCTTTGTTTTGCTGCTGAGATCCGGAGAACGTGGGTCATCGGAGGCAAGGAAGTGACACCCCATTCTAGGCCCTTTATGGCCTCCATCCAACATGAGAACAAACACATTTGCGGTGGGTTCTTGTTGAGACGAAGATGGGTGATGACAGCAGCTCATTGTGTGATTCCCAAGTAAGGAAGAACTTACCCCATTCCTCACTCTAGCACTGATGATGTTACCTAGTTGCAGGGGTGGGATTCTACCAGTTCGGGCTGGTTCTCTAGAACCGGTTGTTGTGATTCTGCACAGTTCTGAGAACCAGCAAACCGTGCCCCTGGCTGGCCCCGCCCCTCTTCACCTGCCCCTCCCCTTCTCTCCCAGTCAGCCCTTAGCGCCCATGCGTGACGTCGCTGACTGCGTTCTTCCCCTCCCAGTCACTCCTTAAGGTATTTTTCCCCTCCCGACGATCAGCTGTTCCTATGATCAGCTGTGCCGGGATTCCCCTCACTGTCTTATTGGTTCACCCAAGAGGCTTCCCTGAGGCTCAGGAAGGCAAAAAAATGGAGGGGCCGCTCCATTTTCTGCCTTCCTGGGCCTCAGGGAAGCTTCCTGGGAGCAAAAACGCCCCCCAGGAAGCTTCCCTGAAGCCCAGAAGGCCCCCAAAATTGGGAGGGTGCTGCAAAAATAATAAGAAGCCATGCCTTCCCAGTCACATGGCCATGCCCACCTAGCCACACCCACTTAGCCACCCCCACAGAATCGGTTGTTAAAAAATTTGAATCACACCCCGCCTAGTTGGGTCATGAAACATCTGCAGAGAATAGAGAATAGAATAGAACAGAACAGAACAGAACAGAATAGAATAGAATAGAATAGAATAGAATTCTTTATTGACCAAGTGTGATTGGACACACAAGGAATTTGTCTTTGTGCAAATGCTCTCAGCATACAGAAGAAAAAAATAAAAATACATTCATCAAGAGTCGAGAATCATAAGGTATAACATTTAATCATAGTCACAGGGTACAATAAGCAGTCAAATCATACTAAGAAACCGTCAATATAAATCATAAGGATACAAGCGACAAAGTTACAGTCATACAGTCACAAGTGGGAGGGGATGGGCGATAAGGAGTGATGAGAGGATTAATAGTAATAGTAGTGCAGACTTAGTAAATGGTTGAACAGTGTTGAGGGAATTATTTGTTTAGAAGAGTGATGGCGTTCGGGGGAAAACTGTCCTTGTGTCTAGTTGTTCTGGTGTGCAGGGCTCTATAGCGTCGTTTTGAGGGAAGGAGTTGAAACAATTTATGTCCGGGATGTGAGAGGTCTGTAAATATTTTCACAGCCCTCTTTTTGACTCGTGCAGTATACAGGTCCTCCATGGAAGGCAGGTTGGTAGTAATTGTTTTTTCTGCAGTCCTAATTATCCTCTGTAATCTATGTCTGTCTTGTTGGGTTGCAGAACCAAACCAGACAGTTATGGAGGTGCAGATGATAGACTCCATCCTTCCTCAGCTCCTTGGGCAAACAGCCAAGCTCAGAGAGCACCACCAAGGACCCCACAACTCAACCCTGAGCTACAAATATTCTCTTCTACCAATAACAGCCAGTGTGGTGTGTTGCAACTAGATGACAAACAGATCAGATTGTTCCCTCTCAAGGGCATTATTCTGCATGCAAAGTCAGCTGGATTGGAGTTCCAATTCGTACCAGATCATCTGAGAACATCTAGAACTAGGGTGTCAAACTCAAGGCCTGTGGGCCGGATATGTGCGTGGCCCTCCCAAGCTCCGTTTTGGCTGGCAGAGGGCTAGCAAAAGAAAACTTAAAACAAAACAAAACAAAAGGAGAGATGCTTCTCCTTTTGCATTTGAGAATCCAAGGAGAAAGGGAAAGAGGAAAGACAAAGGAAAAGAAGGGAAGATGGGAAGGGAGTAAGGAAGGAAAAAGAAGGGAAGAAGGGAAGAAGGGAAGGAAGAAGAAAGAAGACTGAAGCGGGAAGGAAAAAGAAGAAAAGGAAGGAAGGAGGGAAGGAGAGGGGGGAGGAAAGAAGGAGGGAAGAAATGAAGGAAGGAAGGAGGGAGGGAGAGAGGGAGGAAACGAAGGAAGGAGGGAGGGAGAGAGAGAGGGAGGAAAAAAGGAAGGATAGAGGGAAGGAAGGAGGGAAGGAGTGAAGGAAGGAGGGAGAGGAAGGAAAGAAGGAAAAGAAGGAAAGACGGAAGGAAGGAGGGAGGGAGGAAAGAAAGAAGGAAGGAAGGAAGGAAGGAAGGAAGGAAGGAAGGAAGGAAGGAAGGAGAGGAAGGGTCTGAGGGAAGTCCTGCTTTAGCATTTGGCCACCACAGGTGCCCCCGACACAAGTGACACTTCTCGACTTACAAAGGACCCCAAAATTTCCATGGCTAAAGCAAGACAGTTAAGTGAGTTGTGCCTCATTTTCTGACCTTTTTTGCGTCAGTGGTTAAACAAATCCCTGCAGTTGTTAAGTGAATCATGCAACTGCTAAGCAAATCTGCTTGCCCTGTTGACTTTTCTTGTAAGAAGGTTATAAATGGGGTTTACACGACTCAGAGGCAGGGGTGCGCTTCAAAACTATCAGCAACCGGTTCTTTGCCTGATTACTGGGTGGGCGTGACCATGGTGGGCATGGCCTAGTCAGCTTCCTGCACCAGGGGGCATTTTCACCCTCTCCGGAGGCTTTCCTCGAGCCTCTAGGAAGGTAAAAATGGCCTCCTCCACCTGCTGTGGTGCAGGAGGCCAACTAGGCCACCTTCCGGAGCCTTCCAGAGCCTTCCGGAGCCTTCCAGAGCCTTCCGGAGCCTCTGGAAGGTGCGTTTTCCACCCAACCTGAGCCTCTACGTGGATCCTGCATTTACCTGACATCTATGGAGGGATTTCTGGAAGGGGTGGGATGGGTGGGCAGGGCCAGCCAAGGGTGGAATTTGCTGGTTCACCGAACCAGCCATAAAACTAGCTATGGGTTTGCCCGAATCGGGGAGAACCGGTAGCAGCCCACTCCCGCCCTGGCGACAGTGCAATGGTCATAAATAGATGCCAGTAACCAAGGGCCTGGATTTTAATCAGGTGACCCCTGGGATGCTGCCACAATTGAGCCCAAAATTTCTGTTGCTAAGTGAAACATTTGTTAAATAAGTTTTGCCCCATTTTACGAACTTTCTTGCCCCCGTGGATAAGTGAATCACTGCAGAAGTTAAGTTAGTAACTCGGTTAAGTAAATCCGGCTTTCCCCATTGACTTTGCTTGTCAGAAGGTCGCAAAATGCAACTGTCATAAATAGGAGTCAGTTGCCAAGCGTCTAAATTTTGACCATGTCACCATGGGGGATGCTGCAACCGTCATAAGTGTGAAAACTGGTCATAAGTCACTTTTTTCATTGCTGTTGTAATGGTCACTAAATAACGTTGAGGACTATCTGTATAAATGAATCCACTTTTTAAAGGGTGTATATAAATAGAATAGATTTTTAGAATTTAGCTTGGATTGTTTGGGTAAAGCACGTCGGGCTGTTGGATCTGCTGACGTTTATGGCTAACGTGACTGTGAATTCACTAAAGGGCCAAACTCCACTTGAAAATAAGTGTGTGCATATACAGGTAAGCCTCGACTTACAACCATTTATTTAATGACCGTTCAAAGTTGCAACGGCACTGAAAAATGCGACTTATGACCATTTTTAACAGTTACAACCTTTGCAGCATCCTCAAGATCATGTGATCAAAATTCAGGTGCTTGGCAGCTGGTTCCTATTTAGGATCGTTGCTGTCTCCCAAGCGTGTGTCATCTTCTTTTGCAACCTCCTCACAAGTAAAGTCAATGGAGGAGCCAGATTCACTTAACATGAAACAGAGGGATAGAATCAAGATCATGTGAAGTGTTAATACCACTTTATAAGGCCTTCTGGTAAGGCCACACTTGGAATCCTGCACCCAGTTTTGGTCACCACGATATAAAAAAGATGTTGAGGCTCTAGAAAAAGTGCAGAGAAGAGCAACAGAGACGATTAGGGACTGGAGTCTAAAACATATAAAGAATGGTTGCAGGAATTGGGTATGACTAGTTTGATGAAAAGAAGGACTAGGGGAAGGGTGGAATTCAACCGGTGTTACTACCAGTTCCTTCCCTTCTCTTTCCTTATCTGCCTTGCCTCCTGTATTAAATTTAGGGAAGGTTTTTGCACAACCTATTCAGTTACAAACCTTGCTTTTCATCTGCAAAAGTGATGCTTTAAAAAGGTTTAACTAAGCGGTTGAATGCGCGCGCATGTAACACACCTAAAGCTGTGCCTCCTGGACAGCTGATAAGCGCTGCGTGTGGACGCGCAGCATTTGAAAAACCACTTTTTTACTGCTTTTCCAACCTCAGCAAAGCAGCTGAGGTTGAAAAAGCCGGAAATAAAGGTCAGGTAAGAGCCCGGGCAGGTGGGCGGGCCAAACAGCAGCAGACACAGAACCGGTTCTGTGTCTGCTGCTCTTCAGAGCTACCGGTTTTATAGAACCAGGCAGAACCAGTAGCATCCCACCCCTGACTAGGGGTGACATGACAGCAGTCTTCCAATATCTCAGGGGCTGCCACAAAGAAGAGGGAGTCAAGCTATTCTCCAAAACACCTGAAGGCAGGACAAGAAGCAATGGATAGAAACTAATCAAGGAGAGAAGCAACTTAGAACTAAGGAGGAATTTCCTGACAGTTAGAACAATCAATCAGCGGAACAACTAGCCTCCAGAAGTTGTGAATGCTCCAACACTGGAAGTTTTTAAAAATATGTTGGCAAACTATTTGTCTGAAGTGGTGTAGGGTTTCCTGCCTGGGCAGGTGGTTGGGCTAGAAGACCTCCAAGGTCCCTTCCAAGTCTGTTATTCTATTCAATAAGTTACTAACTTATTAATTGCAGTGATTCATTTGACAACTGTGGCAAGAAAGGTCGTAAAACGGGGCAAAACCCACTTAACAAATGTCTCACTGAACAACAGAAATTTTGGCTTCAGTTGTGGTCATAAATTGAGGACTGCCTGCATTGCCGTATTTCCCAAAAGCTAAAGAGAGCTTATGGGTTTGTTTGTTTTTTCTCGTGGAAATTGTCTTGTGCAGGAGGGATCAACGTTGCCGCTTCTAACTTTTCCCCATTTATCCTGGCAGGCGCTCCTCACAGTTTCGCGTCATCCTGGGGGCCCATTCGCTCAAGACTCAGGAGGCCTCCCAGCAAATCTTTGGCATCCAGAACTCCATCGCTCACCCGCTTTTCAATGCTGAGACAGTGAAAAATGACATCCGTTTACTCAAAGTGAGTGTGGGCAGAGAAACAGGCATCCGTCTGGGTACATCATGGGGGAAGAAGAATGGTGTTATGTGATTTTGCCACCTCATGTTGCAAAGGAACAGTGTTTCCCGATAAAGGTCTCAGTTAAAGGATATTAACCTTTTGTGCAAGGTCCTAAGGCCAGGACTTCCTCCCTCCCTCCTTCTTCTCTTCCTTCCTTTCTCCCTCCCCTCCCTTCCTTGGTAGAAGGAAGAGCCGTGGTGGCCTAAGGGTTAGAATGCAGTATTGCAAGCTAATTCTGCCAACTGCCAGCAGTTCAAACCTGAGCAGCTCAAGGTTGATTGAGCCTTCCATCCTTCCAAGGTCAGTAAAATTGTTGGGGGCAAGAGGCTGACTATAAACCACTTAGAGAAGGCTGCATTGCAATTGCTTGCTTGCTTCCTCCTGCCTTCCTGCCTTCCTTTTTTCTTTCCTTCCATCCTTCTTTCCTTCCCTTCCGTGCCTTCCCTTTCCCTTCCCTTCCTTTCTCTTTCCTTATCTGCCTTGCCTCCTGTATTAAATTTAGGGAAGGTTTTTGCACAACCTACTCAGCCAGATCAGTTACAAACCTTGCTTTTCATCTGCAAAAGCAATGGCTTTAAAAAGGTTTAACTAAGTGGTTGAGACACGAGGAGTCACACTGAAGGCCAATAAAAATGTGCACTTTTGCTGAACCGTTATTCACTGCCGCAGAATAAAGTAAGATTCCAGTTTCTTACTGAAGTCAGAATAAATGGCAAATTTAAAAAAGCATCTAAGAAGCTACCTTAAACCAAATTAGATCAACTAATCTGTCTATGTGCTCTTGTCTTCTAAGCTTGATTGGGAAAAGTTCTTCAGATTTCAGACAAACCGAGGACTGAAATTCTAGTTGTTCATCAGTGCAAGATATATTTTCGGTCTCTCGGTACCCAAAGCCTCACAACGCTATTCTTAACACACTATCATAACCCCAAATAATTAATTCATCAATACCCAGGTGGGGGGAGGCTGTTTTGTCCATTGTTCTGTTTATTAAAAATTAAACACCAGGGGGCGATCCTGGCTTCCAGAAGGAAAAAATAATTGGAGGCAAAAGTATGATATAGTTAAGTTCCAGCAGGGTGGAAATGGCTAACGGCTTCACAGATCAGGAACACGTCAGATGGCCAACATCTGGATGGTGTGGCCCGACATTTGGTTGTTTTGAACAGCTTCTGCAATGCTCCCCCTCAACATTTCTCTCTAGAATTCTCCAAACCTTTTGCATCACTTTGCATGAACAAACTGCTGGCCATAAAAATACCGCAAACAAAATTTATGTAACTTTGCCGGAAAAGAATATTTCAAGAGTAACAGAGAAAACTCTGTTCCGATGGTTTGGGGTTGCCTAAAGCGACATGGTGAGGGAGGAGTTGGAATCGGTGGGACTACATGGATCAGGGGTGTCAAACTGGATTTCTTTGAGGGCCAAATCAACATTGTAGTTGGATGCATCCTGCAGCACCCTGCTGGCCAAAACGGGGCACGTGGAGACCCCACGGGGCCCCCGCATGGCCCCTTTTCGGCCTCTTTAGCTTATAAATGTCTTGGGTGCCAGTGTGGTCAGTTGGTCATGTGATTTGTTGTTCGTTTGGAACAGAGGAATCGGAGAATAAATTATTGCTGATTATGTTACCTAGTCTGGTAATGAAACATTCAGAAACTAAATTGAAACAAGCTTGGAGAGCGAACCACTGCCAAAATCTAAAACCTGAGCTACAAGGGGTTTTTTTTATTATTATTATTTCAACTCTATACCATATTAGACAAATGCCTGTCCAATCTCTTCTTAAAAACATCCAGTGATGGAGCATCCACAGCCTCTGGAGTTAAGTTTTTCTGCTGATTGATTGTTCTCACCGTCAGGAAATTACTTTTTAGTTCTAGCTTGCTTCTCTCTTTGATTAGTTTCCATCCGTTGCTTCTTGTCCTGCCTTCTGGTGCTTTGGAGCAGTGGCCCCCAACCTTTTTTGTGCCACGGCCCGGTACCGGCATCACAAAATGATCCGCGGCCCGGTACCGGCACCGGCACCAGCACGTATGACAAGGCAAGGCGAGCCGAGCGACCGGCCAGCCAGCCGTCCCCCGCTTCTCCCCGCCACCTTCAACTCCTCCTTTGTAGCTTTGTCGATGGGCTTCGCTTCGGGACGGCTTCGGGACGGTCGCTCGGGTCACCTTGCCTTGGGTGCTGAAAGAATCCTCGCGCCTTAGTTTCGTTCGAAGCCCCCCGCTTCGATGAAACTAAGGTGCGAGGATTCCTTCAGGACCCAAACGCCGCTTTCCAACTGGAAAAGCTCACCCGGAAGCACTTTCTCATCAAAACAAGATGGCGGAGCCCAGCAAACTGGTGGCCCGGTAGGAAATGTTCCACGGACTGGTACCGGTCTGCGGCCTGGTGGTTGGGGATCCCTGCTTTGGATAATAGCTTGATCCCCTCTGCTTTGTGGTAATCCCTGAGATATTGGAAGACGGCTATCATGTCACCCCCTAGTCCTTCTTTTCATTAAACTAGACATACCCAATTCCTGGAGGGGCGTTTTTGCTCCCAGAAGGCTTCCCTGGGGCCCAGGAAGGCAAAAAATGGTGTGTGTGTGTGTGTGTGTGTGTTGTGCCCCTCCCTCCATTATTTGCCTTCCTGAGCCTCAGGGAAGCCTCTTGGGCGAAGCAGTAAGACAGAGAGGGGAATCCCGGCACAGCTGATCATAGGAACAGCTGATTGTCAGGAAGAAAAAAAAGTACCTTAAGGAGTGACTGGGCATGCGATGTTGTGCATGCACAATAAGGACCAATTGGGTAGGGAAGGGATACTGGGTCGGGGGTGTGGCCAGCCAGAAGTTACTACCGGTTTGGCTACTCAAACCCAACCCTTGCTACCGGTTCACCCAAACTGGTGCAAACTGGCTGAATACCACCACTGCCTCTGTTCCATGTTAAGTGATTCATGCTTTGCAGATGAATCATTGCTGAAAATGCAACACTGGCCTTAGCAGCCCATCTCTTCTTCTTCTCTCCGTCTGCAGTTGAACAGATCCGCCATTTTCAATAAGAACGTCCGGAAGATCAAGTTACCTCACGCCTACACTGATCTTTGCCCTGGACTCACATGCCATGTTCTCGGCTGGGGGGACATCTCAAATTATGCGACCATCCCCACCAAACTCATGGAAGCCAACACAACCATCGTGGACAGGAAGGCTTGTAACGAATCGTGGCAAGGACACGTCTCCAAGAGCATGGTCTGTGCAGCCAGCACCAGTGCCGTCCTGCGTGGTTTCTGCTCGGTGAGCCTGGGGCGGCCTTCCCAAAATAGAAACTCAGAATGCTAAGGAGTTTTATTATATGCCATGTTTGGTCAGAGACTGAACACAGCGAGGGTGAAATTGTGAACATGGGGCAGTGCTTGACAAAAAAGGTTAGTGCTGTCGTCCATCAGCCCATTGGACAAAAGTTGAGGGATTTAAACCAGGGGTGTCAAACTCAAGGCCTGCAAGCTTCATCTGGCTCGCAGGGTGTTTAGATCTGGCCTGCAGGGCTGCCCTGGAAACAGCAAAAGAATTGTTGTAAGTCGAGAACTACCTATATAAATATGATGAATGAATGAATATAGGAGGGAATTTGCAAGATCTAATCTACCCATACCAATCATTACCTCTCTACCATCTGGGTTTTTTTTAATTCTTTTCCCTTGATTCTACTGTCCTTGGGTGTTACCAAATCTATTTTTGTGGTTGGTCACACAGACAGCCTGTGATGACCCAGGGTGGGATACAAAAACAACACAGGAACAAAAACAGGTGAAGTCCCTTTAATTCCTTTAGCGTGGCTTCAAAGCTCCAAATATCCTTGACCGGAAACAAAAAAATCTCCCCCACAAACAGTTGCAAAAAGGAGGAAATGTCGTTTAAACTAAAAATGCCGATAAATTATAATTAGAAAAAACAACACAAACCACACTGAAGCAATTAAGGGAACCAGGCAAAATAAGGGCTTGAAGACGTCCACAGATATCAGAATACACATTGGGAAGGATGCCAAACTCAGCTAAGAATGGACAGACTAGAGATATTTCCACGCTTTGTTTCCAGCACTCGCCCTTACGCATGTCCTTCCTCTTAGGCAGTTGTCACAGCTGCAGCCCATGAAGAGGATCAAGGCCCTCTCCTCCCCAGTAGACCACGTCTCTCCCTGATCCTCTCCTCCCTGCGTGCCCTAGGATGGAGAGGGGATGGGCCTGGGTCCTCCTCTGACTGCCCAGCCGGCCTCTGCCTTTCCCCAGCCTCCTCCACAACCTCCGGAGCCACACTTTCACACCCTGTCAGCTGTTCCTCCTGTCCCTCAGAGCCAGTCTCCAACAGGGGCATGACACAACCAGATGTGTAGACTGGATTTGACATTTCTGTCATCAATATTATTATTTGATATTTAATACCATGTTATTGTGGGGGGGGGGACATGGGGATATTGCTTGAACCCATCTGCCCAAGGGCCATTCCTGAGACCCTATACCTGACCCCTATCTTCCTTCTTTTGTAGGGTGACTCAGGTGGCCCCTTAGTGTGCGGGAAAAACGTTCATGGCATCGTCTCCTTCAACGGAAAGAGATGCGGTGATCGGCATTTTCCGGATGTCTATACCCGCATTGCCAATTACATCCCCTGGATCCGTTTCGTGCTGCAGACTTTTTGATTGGTGGTCTTGGAAGGCTGGGGGTGGGGTCTGAGGCGAGTTTTTCAAAAAAGAAAAGCTGACTTGTTTGGTGGGAGAGGAGAAACAGATTTATTCAGCTTTGTCCAGGTCTACAATTCCCAAAATTTCCAAGCCATTCACAGCCGTATTGATGGGATGCTCTAGTCTAGATGATGTGTTCATCACACATCTGGAAGAATAGAAGTCGATGTTACACTGACAATTGGATATTTTTAAAGACAGCTTCCATAGAATAGTTAAATGTAATTCATCAAGGGCGCAGTATAATGTACATCTATAGAATGCTATAATCATCTCCTCCTCCTCCTCCTCCTCCTCCTCCTCCTTCTCCTCCTCCTCTTCTTCCTCCTTCTCCTTTCATGTCTTCTTCTTCTTCTTCTTCTTCTTCTTCTTCTTCTTCTTCTTCTTCTTCTTCTTCTTCTTCTTCTTCTTCTTCTTCTTCTTCTTCTTCCTCCTCCTCCTCCTCCTCCTCCTCCTCCTTCTTCCATGTCTTCCTCCTCCTCCTCTTCTCATACATTTTATTATCACTTTCTTCTTCTCCTCCTCTTCCTCCTCCTCCTCCTTCCATGTCTTCCTCCTCCCCCTCCTCCCCCACTTCCTCCTCTTCCTCCCTGGAGTGCACTACAAACAACTCACCCACTTACAATCAATAATGAATCAGTTAGGAATCTTGGAACAGTTGAGTAAAGTTCAAGTCCTTCCCTGCCTAATTCCTGGCCTACTGACCTCATGCTTTCTCCATTCCAGCTGCAGAACTTGGAATTTTCCACCAATTTCCCCCACCCTGGAGTCGAGGATGGGGAGCAGTCATCTAGCTATCGCAATCACTGAACAATTAAAAATCCTTGCAGATCTGGAGCTGATTATCCCAACATCCAGCAGTCTTTCACAGCTCTCCCTGCATTACCACATCCCTTTTTCACAGGCCTTTCCCCTCATGTTCTTGGGTACGGTACAATTTCATGTCTTTAGGGGTGCATATTAACAAGGAATGTTACTGTTCTTCGTTTCATCTTGAAACCAAAATTCCCCAGAAACACAAAATAGGCTAAAAGAGAAAAGAAAAGAAATAATAAAGAAGTCAGCCTACACATGATTTTGCTACTTTTGACTTAATTTAAATGTACATTAAAAGTTATATTAAGCACCCTTAGTATGATGATTCCTCATGTATTTATAACACTTCTCTTCTGTGGTGTTAAAAAAAATGAGTATTCAGAGGTAATTGGAACAGTCTTGGGGGCACAGAGGCCGTTCGGGCCCTCAGGTTTTGCAAATGCCATATTAGGAAGTTAAGTTCTAAAATTTAACCAAAAATGGCGTTTAAGCACGCAATTTTCTTCGCCCAGCCTGAGTCTTGCCCCACTGAACAACACAGGACAAATCTGCTTTCCATATGAAAGCCTTTCAGATATTTGAAGATTGCTATCGTGTCTTTGCTTAAAACTCAACATCTGCACCTAATGCCTCTTAAAAATAAAAAAATCCGGAGTAAGTCTGCATTCAGGCGATAACGACATTGCAAAGAGTTCCTCTGTTTTCCTTCCATATTCCTATAAAAATTGGCTGGGCTGTATGGAGAGATTCTCATATTCTGAGTAGCTTCTTTGCTGTGGTTAAGGTTGGTTATTCCTAAACATTCCCCTTTTAAAAATAGAAGATTGGGCATATATTGATGTCTTTCCGTACCAGTTGTGAGAACAATCAACCAATGAGACAGAAGTTGCCCTCGGAAGTTGTGGGAGCGCCATCACTTGAGACTTTCAAGAAGAGATTGGATTGCCATTTGTCAGAAATGGTGTAGGGCCGTGTTGGCGAACCTATACCATGCATGCCGGAAGTGGCATGGAGAGCCATTTCCCCCGGCATCCAAGAGGTCGCCCGGAAGAGCCCCACTGTGCATGTGTGTACACGCCCCTGCCCAACAGCTGATTGTCAGGTATCTGGCACGCATGCGCAGGGGGCGGAGGGGGGTGCACGGGATCCGCACCCACATGCAAGGGTTGTGGAGGGGCAGCACACATTGCCTCCCAGGTACTGGCAGGTGGGTGTGCACAATTATCGGCACTGGAGCCAAAAAAGGTTAGCCACCACTGGTGTAGGGTCTCCTGCTTGGGCGGGGGGTTGGACTAGATGACCTATAAGGTCCCTTCCAACTCTGATTATCTGTTATCTGTTATCAATTGATGGTGGGTTTTTCTCCTCCTGTAACTTGCTAGCACCCACACTTACAGCCACAACTGAGTCCAACATTTATGTTGCTAAACGAAGCATTGGTTAAGTGAGTTTCGCACTTAAAAGGTTGCATTGTACAATTTTTCTTGCCCCAGTTATTAAGTGAATCATTGCGGTTGTTAAGTGAATTTGGCTTTCCCCATTGACTTTGCTTGCCAGAAGGTCGCCAAGAGGATCCCATAATTCTGGGCCACTGCAACCGTCATAAATACGAGTTAGTTGCCAAGCGTCCAAATTTTGATCACGTGACCACGGGGATGCTGTAATGGTCGTAAGTGTGAAAAATGTCATAAGTCACTTTTTTCAATGCCGATGTAAATTTGAACGGTCACTAAATGAACAATTGTAAGTCGAGGCCTCCCTGTACCAGTGGTGGGATTCAATTTTTTTTACTACCGGTTCTGTGGGCGTGACTTGGTGGGTGTGGCAGGGGAAGGATACTGTAAAATCCCATTCCCTCCCCACCCCACTAACCTGCTTTCCAGCTCTGTTCTCCTGTGCAGGGCAACCAAAGAAGACCCAGCCAATCAGCTGGGATTCAGGAGGCAGAGAAGAGATGGGGGCGGGGCCAGTCAGAGGTAGGATTTGCCGGTTCTCCAAACTACTCAAAATTTCTGCTACCGGTTCTCCAGAACTGGTCAGAACCTGCTGAATATCACCTCTGCCCTGTACTATTCCTAGAAAATTTTTATTATCTATATGGATTCGGAGATGATTTCCATTTTTTTAGCAGTGTAATATTTTAACGGTAAGTCCAAATTGATTGCTACTCTTCTTCTTATGTGGCATAGCTGTAACCATGGCTCTTCACCAAATCTGTATTTTCTCCCTGCAATACATTACAGGTAGTCCTCAAGTTATGACCACAATTCAGCCCAAAAGTTATGTTGCTAAGTGAAACATTTGTTAAGTGAGTCGGCCCCAGGGGTGGGATTCAACTGGTGTTACTACGGTTTGTTTTTTATGCGTGTGTGTGTAAGAAAACCTTAAGCTGTGCTGCCTGGATAGGTGAAAAGCGCTGCTCACAGGTGCACAGCGTTTGAAAAGCCTATTTTTTCCTGCTTTTTCAACCTCAGTTGTGCCATGCCGCACAAAGCAGCTGAGGTTGAAAAAGCAGGAAATAAAGGACAGGTAAGAGCCCAGGCGGGCAGGTGGGCCAAACAGCAGCAGACACAGAACTGGTTCAGTGTCTGCTGCTCTTCAGAGCTACCGGTTCTATAGAGCCGGGCAGAATCGGTAGCATCCCACCCCTGGTTGGCCCCCTTTTACGACTTTTCTTGCCACCGTTGTTAAGTGAATCATTGTGCTTGTCAAGTTAGTAACATGGTTGTTAAGTGAATCTGGATTTCCCATTGATTTTGCTTGTCGGAAGGTCGCAAAAGCTGATCACATGATCCTGGGACATTGCAGCCGTCATAAATTTGAATTAGTTGCCAAGCACCTGAATTTTGCTGATGTGACCATGGGGCAATGCTGCAACGGTTATTAAGTGTGAAAAACAGGTCATAAGCCTCTTGTATCAGTGCCGTTCACTAAATGAACTGTTACAAGTGGAAGACTACCTGTATGTGAAATCTTGGATTGACCAAAGCTTTGTGGGTTGTCAGGATCTAAGAACCATGTGGTGATGGAAGGTTGCTACTTGGAAGACTGGAACAAGAAATGCTAAAAATGATGAATTAAATTACAGGCACTCTTTGATTTAAAACTATTCATTTAACAACACTTCAAAGTTACAAGAGCAGTAAGAAAAAGTGAGTTAGGACCAGTCCTCGCACTTACAACAATTGCCGCATCCCCACAGTCACATGATCAAAATTTGGGCCCTTGGCAGCTGCTATGCATTTAGGGGGTTGCAGCATCCCAAGGTCATGTGATCCCCATTGGAAACCTTCCCAACTGGCCTCCAACAAGCAAAGTCAGTGGGGCAAGTCAGGTTTCGCTTAACAACCACGTGATTCCCTTAACAATTGCGGCGAAAAAGGTTGTAAAATTGGATGCGACTCACTTAACAGCTGTCTTGCTTAACAACAGAACTCCTCATCCAAATTGTGGCCATAAACAAAATTGATAAACAAAAATAGATGAATACTGTGTCTGGGGAACTAAGTAAAGGGAGAAGGAAGTTAGAAGTCTCACTGAAGATGGTGTAATCTTGTGGGGTAGAATTAATGAAAACATGCAAGGAATTAAGGTGCAATTTTAACTATGAATAAATGGGCTAAAACATACACTAGAGAGTATAAATTACTATCTTCTATGTTATTCTGAGTATATTTGACAGCAGGATCACATTAGAAATAGTTTCATCTTATGCTTCGGTCAATATTTATTTATTTGAAAATTTTATGCGTAAGAGAATGCTGCAAAAATGGAGTTGGGAGAAATAACAGAGTTGGAAGGGAACTTGGAGGTCTTCTAGTCCAACCCCCTTTTAAGCAGGAGACCCTACATCATTTGAGACAAATGGTTGTCCTATCTTTTCTTAAAAACTTCCAGTGTTGGAGCACCCGTAACTTCTGAAGGTAAGCCATTCCACTGATGTTCTAATTGTTCTAACTGTTTGGGAATTTCTCCTTAGTGCTAGGTTGCTTCTCTCCTTGGTTAGTTTCCATGTTAGTTTCGCACGTATCAAAGTTGCCATGGTTGAGAAACGTTGCATTAAGAACACGACTAACTTCTTCCTAGTTGACCATGATCAACTTCTTCCTAGGAGACTCTGGGTGTTGAAGTCCATGCAGGGG